AATAAAAGTTGGTGAATGTATTTATCTTACTGTAAATAACAAGTGAAAAAGTTTTCAGCCTTATCAGTTGGACATTCCGGTTTTTATACTGCTTTTTTTTAATTCACTAACGCTCTAAAAATGAATATTTCAGCCGCAGTAAAGAATGAACGTCGGCGGATTTTGGTTCTTGACATCCTTTACGATCGGTTACGATGCCTAGAGTACGGAGACCTGTACGATTTCGTCAACTTAGTGAGTTTGATAGGGGCCGTATAGTGGGACTTCCGGAAGCTGGACTTTCTTTTCGGGCAATTGCAGTTAGAGTGCAAAGAAGTGTAGACACTGTGGTTAGGTGTTGTCAAGCATGGCTTCGAGAAGGCCGTACGCAAAGAGCAAGGGGCACTGGACGCCGCCGTAGAACAACAGACCGTGAAGATCGCCGCCTAAGATTATTGGCCTTAAGGGACCGTTTCTTCACTACCAGGTCCATTGCAAATGAATGGTTTGCAGAACACGGAAGACCTATTGGCATGCGAAGTGTTTACCGACGAATGAGAAGTTTTGGCTTGTTTTCATACTGGCCACACTGGGTCCTCCCTTTAACTCGAGAACACCGACGTAATCGCCTTGAGTGGTGCTGACAATGATCACTCTGGGAGGAATCCACAGTTTTTTGTTGAAAGACATGTTCATCACACTGTTGGAGTTATGGTTTGGGGTGCTATAGCTTATCGCTCCAGGTCACCTTTAATCTTCATCAGAGGTAACATGAACGCGCAGCGTTATATCCACGAAGTTCTAGAACCCCATCTTTTACCCTATCTTGACACCCTGGCAGATCCAACTTTCCAACAAGATAATGCCCGACCACATGTTGCAAGAGTCGCAATAGACGTCTTTCAACATAATGGTGTCACATTGTTACCATGGCCACCAGGATCTCCCGACTTATCCCCAATTGAGCACGTGTGGGATATGATGGGTAGAAGATTGCTCAATTTGCAACGTCCTCCTCATACTCTAGAAGCACTTCGAGAGGAGTTGGTGGTTGCCTGGAATGAGATACCACAGGAGGACATTAACCACCTGATCAGAAGCATGCCTAGGCGCGTTGGAGAATGCGTAGCACATCAGGGTGCGTCCACACATTATTAAAGGTCAAAGGGCTTTAAAGCAGTGCAATCATTTTGAAATTTTTATCATTTACATACTTATTATGTTTCATTAAGTACTTATACAAAATTTTATTAAAATAAAACCATTTAAACTGGGTGTTCGGATTTATATGTCACTTAGTATATTTTTGAGGAAGGTAATTGTTGCAGAAGTGATTCTATTTCATTGTTGTCTAAATGATAGCTTAGGGGAATGTATACGTTAAAGACAGTTAGTTTTTTAGGAGTAGGCTAGCGGGGTATCGCAGTTTATATAAATAGCGACTACAACACTGGCTGTTGAGCTCTGCAATTTTTTAAAAATCCGTTGTAGCCTTTCGGAGAATGAGTTATAGATTCATGGAAGTTGGTTTCTTGGAGACCTATGATATCAGGTGTATGATCAGATATTAGTTTACACAGTATATTTAAGCGACAGTAGTATGCATTTAGATTCCAGTGCAATATAGATTTAAGCGACTTTGTAAATGGTTAGAAGAAATTAGATTATATTGAAGATGCTTCGCTATTGGTGTCGTTAGTTTTGTTTTCGACGTGCCGTTCTAGTTTGTTACGTGACCTAGTCAATCTATTTTTCAAGGTTCTGTTACGTGGGGGTATATAAGTTGTATTGTTTCAATCAAACCTTTTGTATCTACAGTATATTCGTTTACTATTGATATAACGTCCCGCACAGTGACACCTGGAGTAACGAGGAGGCAGATGAAAATGAAAAAGTCACAACGCAAGGAGAAATGTCTGTAATAACAAAAATATCATTCTTACATACAAAAGCTTACTTAACTCATAGAATATATACTAAGTGACATATAAATCCGAACACCCAGTTTAAATGGTTTTATTTTAATAAAAGTTGGTGAATGTATTTATCTTACTGTAAATAACAAGTGAAAAAATTTTCAGCCTTATCAGTTGGACATTCCGGTTTTTATACTGCTTTTTTTTTTCACTAACGCTCTAAAAATAAATATTTCAGCCGCAGTAAAGAATCAACGTTGGCGGATTTTGGTTCTTGACATCCTTTACGATCGGTTACGATGCCTAGAGTACGGAGACCTGTACGATTTCGTCAACTTAGTGAGTTTGATAGGGGCCGTATAGTGGGACTTCGGGAAGCTGGACTTTCTTTTCGGGCAATTGCAGTTAGAGTGCAAAGAAGTGTAGACACTGTGGTTAGGTGTTGTCAGGCATGTGGTGGCAGGTGTTGTCGCCGCCTAAGATTATTGGCCTTAAGGGACCGTTTCTCCACTACCAGGTCCATTGCAAATGAATGGTTTGCAGATCACGGAAGACCTATTGGCATGCGAAGTGTTTACCGACGAATGAGAAGTTTTGGCTTGTTTTCATACCGGCCACACTGGGTCCTCCCTTTAACTCGAGAACACCGACGTGGTGCAGACAACGGTCACTCTGGGATCAGGAATGGAACAGTATTGTCTTTAGTGACGAGTCTCGATTTTGTTTAGGCATGCACGATGGTCGTGCCAGGGTTAGAAGGCGACGTGGTGAAAGGAGGAATCCACAATTTTTTGTTGAAAGACATGTTCATCACACTGTTGGAGTTATGGTTTGGGGTGTTAGGTCACCTTTAATCTGCATCAGAGGTAACATGAACGCGCAGCGTTATATTCACGAAGTTCTAGCACCCCATCTTTTACCCTATCTTGACACCCTGGCAGATCCAACTTTCCAACAAGATAATGCCCGACCACATGTTGCAAGAGTCACAATAGACTTCTTTCAACATAATGATATCACATTGTTACCATGGCCACCAAGATCTCCCGACTTATCCCCAATTGAACACGTGTGGGATATGATGGGTAGGAGATTGCTCAATTTGCAACGTCCTCCTCAGACTCTAGAAGCACTTCGAGAGGAGTTGGTGGTTGCCTGGAATGAGATACCACAGGAGGACATTGACCACCTGATCAGAAGCATGCCTAGGCGCGTTAGAGAATGCGTAGCACATCAGTGTGCATCCACACATTATTAAAGGTCAAAGGGCTTTAAAGCAGTGCAATCATTTTGAAATTTTTATCATTTACTTATTATGCTTCATTAAGTAGGTACTTATACAAAATTTTATTAAAATAAAACCATTTAAACTGAGTGTTCGGATTTATATGTCACTTAGTATATCAAGCATGGAAAAATGTTGAGCTCTTAAACAGCTCACAAACCATCTAGGCGGCCGTGGCGCTGCATTACCAGACTCGAAGGTAATATATAATGATAACCAGTCTAGGACTCGGACATACCCAGTTCACTCATCGCTTTTCAACAGGGAAACCACCACCAGCCCGTGACATATTTGTGAGGGAGCACTAATCTAAACATTGAGTGTCCATTACTGGAAAATGACTACAACATAGTATTGACGGAACTGTAGTGGATGCCAAAGGAGATGGGACATTAATCAACTGCTTGCGTATCTAAGAGAAATTAATATTCTACATAAAATTTAATGACATACACCGCTAATAGCCTGTAAAAGTTGATGGGGTTATTTATTTATATAAAACAAAAGTTGACATAGTAAACTTAGTATTTTATACAGGGTGTTTCAAATTCGACCCTCACCATTGGGATCTCGGAATCTGTAAGAGATACGAAGTCGCTTAAATGGAGACAAAGTTGCGTATTTAGGTAGATCACAAAATGACGCTTAGAAAGTATCGAAATTCAATGTACTTTTTCTTTCAAAATCGTTTTAATTTGTTCCTGACTTTAATTGTAGTGAGGTTTCAAAATGAATTGCACATTGTCATTACTTCTTTTTCTCCTCTACAAGATGGCATCACTAGAATTCCAATATGACTTTTCCTCTCTTGACCTCCAGCATCAACTTTATTTTTTCTTGTCGATGTCATATTGGATTTTCACGCAGGTGAATAAAGATCTTAATTATGATTTCAAAAATGTCATACATTGACATTGGCCAAACCTTAGTAACTCCAAAAAAAAAATGTCTTAGGTAGGCCTTGTAATTATCAGATTTCATTTGTTTTGTGTCAGACCAGACCTCAAATTGAACATAGCAACAGAGCTTGGCAGACCGAGAATAGGAGAAATAAATCTAGCAGTGAACAATGTACAGAGAAGAGTCATGCTTGGCCAACAAAATAACGGACATTTTGAACATTTGCTATGATTTATGTGTCTGCTTATTTTTGATTATGTTCCGGCCTCGTCTCGTAAATAGAGCAGATGTAGTCCCTCGTTTCCCGGCCAAGCCCACGCGCATGCAGAGAAGAGAAGCAGCAACCGCGCCCTCCCACCTTCCTCCTCCCTGGCCACTGGCCTCTCATTCAAACATAAGAAACGACAAAGGAACAGCTCTTCATACGAGTAATCGCTGAATACGAATATTAGACAAATGGAGCGAAGGTGGGCCGATACGTCTTTTAAGATTTGCATATAGAAACTTAGTAGGCCGCGCGGATCAAACGTCAGTACTGAATCTTAACCTCACTCTTTGGTAAACTTAAATTCAAAGTTTCACAACGATACGTGCAGTGTTCTCACTACAGTGAATTTTTAAGTGTCACTAAGTCATTAGAAAAATGGAAGTCAACCGAGAAACTTTTCGCGCCATAATTTATTGTGTCAAAAGCGGGTCATATTGCAACAATTTCTCTTAATGAGCAAAGAACTGTTACTGCGGATTGGTATACCACCATTTTTTTGCCAAAAGTCATCAACGAGCTTCGAAAAATCAACCCCGAAAGAAGAATCGTCCTCCACTAAGACAATGCAAGCTCGCACACAGCCCAAAAAACAAGGCAGTATTTAACGGAAGAAAACGTGGAATTATTGGACCATCCTCCATATAGTTCCGATCTAAGTCCTAACGATTTCCTTACTTTCCCGAAAATTAAAAAACAGACTGCGTGGTCAAAGGTTCCAGTCACTAAAAGAAGCAGTTGACGCATTCAAAAATGCCGTTTTGGATCAGCCAGCAAACGAGTGGAAAAGTGCTTCGAAAATTGTTTCGAGCGCATGTAGATGTGTATTAATCTTCGTGGAGAAGACTTCGAAAGACAATAAAGTCATTTAAAACTACCTGCCGTGTCGTTTTATTTCAATATGCAAAACTTAAAAGACACCCCTCGTAATTAGGATGAGCATTGTCGGCGGGACGCCGAAGGAAAATCCAATAGGTCACCTTCAGTGTTCCTTTCGTCGCGGAGTCGAAATATAGCAGCTGAGGTACTCGTGCATCACCAACCACCCCAGAGTCATAGAGTTGCGTGCCGACCTCTTTTTCTGAAGACTGGTCACCATCAGGTAATTATCGACTAACCGATCTGATTCAGGCACAAATTTATAAAGTTAGGTGAATATTAGTACGGATGCGTCACCGGCATTGCAGACTGTGCCTGGCACGACGTTTGGGATATCGTTCCGATACTGTACTACGTTTCTTTAAATACCAACCTGGACCTAGCTTGTGATAGCCAACTCCAGATCAAGGACGCACAAAGACATTTGGGATAACGTTGAAACATTGGACTCGGTTCCTTCAGATAGCAACATGGACTTGCCTTGTGTCAGTCAGCTCCATACCAAGGAAGAACATATACCTTTGGGATAATAACTCAACACTGAACTCCGTTGCTTGTAATGGTAACTTATGCTGAACTTGTGGTAGCTAAGATCTCACGACAAATACCAACACTGAAAGCGTTTGGAACAACGAAGCAACAAAGTATGGCCAACAATCTATTCCCAATTGCTCGTGATAGTACAGTCCACTTGGTTTGCGATAATCATGGAACAGGACTGTAAGTATGACCATGACAGGTTATAAAACCGCCAAGATATACTGTTACCTTATTAAAAGATAAAGATTATGCACCTTTTGTGAGGTTAGCGTTACATTTTGCTTGTTATAGTAAATTCCATCTGGTTTGTGATAACCATGGAACAGGATTGTAAGGATGCACATGACATGTTAGGAAACAGCCAAAATACCATTTTTCATTTATAACAGAGACAGATTAGGTACATCCAAGCGAGACTAGCGTTACTTTTTGCTTGTGATAGCAAATTCCACTGGGTTTGTGATAGGAACAGGACTGTATGCATGTATATGACAGGTTGAGAAACCCGGAAAGTACCATCTTCTGTAATAACAGATAGAGATTAGGTACATCCATGATAGACTAGCATCACATTTTGCTTGGGATAGCAAATTATAGTCTCTCCTCTAAGTTCAAATGAGGGGGGCGCATGCCGGCAGGTACTCTCCACAGGGAACCAATTTCTCGTCAAGAGCTCATGCGGCGAATTTAAACAAAGCACTCAGGAGTACTCTAACAGAGGATTCCATTGATAACTTGCTCTTCGGAGTAAGTCTGGCCAAACAAGTCAGTTCTAAATAGAAATCAGATAAATATTGGCAGCAACTGGGGGCTAAAAGGCCGGACAACGTACTCACAACATCAGCTATCACCAATTATTTCAAAAAGGTACGCAGATCGTCAGGGAGACTGGCGCCTATTTATCATCAATAATAATAATAACCTTTATTCAAATTGCTTTGCGGATATGAAACGTCAACAGGAAAATATACATGACTAAATTAGAATAAAATAGATAATAAGTTATAAAATAAGCAGTAAAAACAGTATGCTTGAATGATGTATCAATAGTTAAAAAGAAGAATATAAAAATATGTGGCATAAATGTAAAATAAGTCAAATAATCAATAAACAGACAACCCTTGTAGAGAGTAAAAACACTTAGGGTACAAGTATGTTAAAAGATCTTTTTTGAAGACTTTTAAGTCGTTGATGGCTTTTAACTCGGAGGGCAAATTATTGAATATAGATCCACATAGATAGTCAGAGCTATACTAAGTGACATATAAATCCGAACACCCAGTTTAAATGGTTTTATTCTAATAAAATTTTGTATAAGTACTTAATGAAGCATAATAAGTAAATGATAAAAATTTCAAAATGATGGCACTGCTTTAAAGCCCTTTGACCTTTAATAATGTGTGGATACACCCTGATATGCTACGCATTCTCCAACGCGCCTAGGCATGCTTCTGATCAGGTGGTCAATGTCCTCCTGTGGTATCTCGTTCCAGGCAACCACCAACTCCTCTCGAAGTGCTTCTAGAGTCTGAGGAGGACGTTGCAAATTGAGCAATCTCCTACCCATCATATTCCACACGTGCTCAATTGGGGATAAGTCGGGAGATCTTGGTGGCCATGGTAACAATGTGACATCATTATGTTGAAAGAAGTCTATTGTGACTCTTGCAACATGTGGTCGGGCATTATCTTGTTGGAAAGTTGGATCTGCCAGGGTGTCACGATAGGGTAAAAGATGGGGTTCTAGAACTTCGTGGATATAACGCTGCGCGTTCATGTTACCTCTGATGAAGATTAAAGGTGACCTGGAACCATAAGCTATAGCACCCCAAACCATAACTCCAACAATGTGATGAACAAGTCTTTCAACAAAAATCTGTGGATTCCTCCTTTCACCACGTCGCCTTCTAACCCTGGCACGACCATCGTGCATGCCTAAACAAAATCGAGACTCATCACTGAAGACAATACTGTTCCATTCCTGATCCCAGAGTGACCGTTGTCTGCACCACTCAAGGCGATTACGTCGGTGTTCTCGAGTTAAAGGGAGGACCCAGTGTGGACGGTATGAAAACAAGCCAAAACTTCTCATTCGTCGGTAAACACTTCGCATGCCAATAGGTCTTCCGTGTTCTGCAAACCATTCATTTGCAATGGACCTGGTAGTGGAGAAACGGTCCCTTAAGGCCAATAATCTTAGGCGGCGACCTTCACGGTCTGTTGTTCTACGGCGGCGTCCAGTGCCCCTTGCTCTTTGCGTACGGCCTTCTCGAAGCCATGCCTGACAACACCTAACCACAGTGTCTACACTTCCTTGCACTCTAACTGCAATTGCCCGAAAAGAAAGTCCAGCTTCCCGAAGTCCCACTATACGGCCCCTATCAAACTCACTAAGTTGACGGAATCGTACAGGTCTCCGTACTCTAGGCATCGTAACCGATCGTAAAGGATGTCAAGAACCAAAATCCGCCAACGTTGATTCTTTACTGCGGCTGAAATATTCATTTTTAGAGCGTTAGTGAATTAAAAAAAAGCAGTATAAAAACCGGAATGTCCAACTGATAAGGCTGAAAATTTTTTCGCTTGTTATTTACAGTAAGATAAATACATTCACCAACTTTTATTAAAATAAAAACATTTAAACTGGGTGTTCGGATTTATATGTCACATAGTATATTTGTTATGTCTAAACTGTATCCATCGAAGAAACAAAGTAAAATCAAACATATACACCCGTATTGCACGTGATCAAGAACTTAACCGTAGGAGACGCTACAGGGCCGTATCAAGCTATTGTGACTGATCTATCAAAGAGTGTCGTACAAGATCTGTGTTGCTGTAAATTCTATCAAAAGCATAGTAAATTATCAGGAATATACCACGCCTTTCTAATCATATTTCGACATTAGGAATCAGTGCAAAAAATTCTGTATTCACCATTTCAGCAAAATGTTACTAAATCGCACACGAAAAAAACTTGTGGACCATCTCAATTGAAATTGTTCATATTTTATTATTAACTTACATATATACCCAATAATATTTACAAATCAACCTTCTATTCACAATGCAGAGCAAATTTTTTGGAGCAAATAGAAACTACAGACGTAGTAGTAGTACAAAAGTTTATTACAGACTCCATAAAGTTTGTTAGTTTGATTGCTATTAAAATTTACATGAGAAATAGGAAGAAGGTCAAAATGGCACTATTGTGCTTTAGAACTCCTAAATTAACCCTAATTTTGTGTAATTATAAATTTGGAATTTCCACATTAATAACTAGAAACTTACACTTTGATTGCAGTCTATAATGAACTTACCTGTCTTGCCAAAAAGCCCGTTAAACTGCCAGTCTTAATGGTATCAATCGATTTATATGCTGTATTCCGAGGAGCTTGAATCATCAGAATTGTTGATGTCAATTATAAGGGGTTCAACTTGGGTGTCAATGATATTGTCCATATCCCACATTTTGGTTTCAACCTTCTCTTGGACATGGTCAATACATGTTCTCCATTTTGCTGGCGTAATTCTATCGACAGCAACATCAAACAGTTTTTTAAGGTCAGAAAACTTAAAAGTGCTGTTATTTGACGCCACGTATTGTTTGATGTCGGCCCAAATCAACTCGATAGGATTCAGTTCGCAGTGATAGGGAGGCAGCCTGAGAACCGTTTTATTTTGGTTTTTGGCCATTTCGTCAACAATTTTTAAATCATATTTATACTTATGTCGCTTGACTATATTTATCAGCTCAGCTTTGACCATTGTTTGGTCGAAGTCGATCTTCTTTGAGACAAGCCACTGTTGAATGTCTGCCTTTTTGGTGGCCATTGTTGGAATTTTTTCCAATTTTCTGGAGTGGTACGGGGCATTATCCATCACAATAATTGCGTTATCATCAAGTGTCGGCAAAATTTTTTTGAACCAATTTTCAAATGAGTTACCATCCATTTCTTCGTGATAGTCTCCAGTTTTTTTGGATTCAAATGCCCACAATGCTTCAGGAACAAATCCATCTACGCTACCTATGTGGCAAATGATCAGGCGTTTTCCCTTGCCTGAAAGTAATTAGTTATTTTACTTCTCAGCGAGCACACTAAATGACGAAATTAAGCAACTTACTCTTTTTAGGTTAGTGTAGGATAGGGTCTTAGATTAGTTTTTGGGTAAAGGAAATACTCAGAAACTTGGATGAGATAGCAAAACTGAGTTCGGAGCTTCCAAATCATTTATTCGATCAGAAAATGAATTATCTGCATCCAAAAAAGTTCATATACTTCGAAACTTACCTGCAGGATTTTTCAATCCCGTCGGAAGGCCATCTAAAAAAGCCTGCCTTGAGGACCTCACAGATCTGTCTACCCAAACCTTTCCCTGCGTATGCCCCGCGTTCACCCATGTTTCGTCTAAATAATAAATTTTTCTTCCTTCAGCGCGGAATTGCCTAATTTTTCTAAGGTATTCTCTCCTCCAGATAACAATTTCCTCCTTTTCTATCAA